TTTCTTTTTTAGGTCTTGACTAAAAAGTGACAGAGTAGTGCACCTTCAAAGTTATTACACGTCTTCCTGGGATCACAACTTTTAAACCTGGAACCTAGTTGATGGCTTAGAAGTATCTTCCTATAACCTTTATATCTTATCGATATATCTTTCTATCATCTATCATCATCTCTATCATCTAATTCATTGACTTATCTCACTGGGCAACAAATTACTAAGCTGCTCTAATAAGCTTCAGACTTAGGCTCTCTTCCAGAGTAGCTTATAAAGTGGCTCTTTAGTGTGATCAGCCTTTTATTGGGATTTTTTTGTTGGGGTGGGTTTTTTTTTTTTTTTTTTTTTTTTGAGACAGGGTCTCCTTGTAGTCCTACCTGGCCTGGAACTTGCTTTGTAGACCAAGCTGGTCTTAATCACCTCCCTCTGCCTCCTGAGTACTGGGGTTAAAGGTGTTTGCCACCACATCCAGCTCTCTTTGGCTTCTTAAAAATGATTAGATCTTAGTCTGATTGCAGAGGGAAAAAGAACACTTACTACTATAGAATGGTGAATTACACAAAGGAATACATTTCTCTTAGGGTGTAAATCACAAATCATGGGGGCTTAAAAGGGGTATTAGGGCCTCAATTTTATGGGAAATAAGAGTCTGTTGAAGGAATTTGGTGATTAGGAAAAAAGTGTTAGGAAATAGGTATGTTATAAAGCCTGATTCTTGTTTAAAAGATATTTATGATGGCTCTGGAGATGTATTTGAATGGGTAGAGAGCGTGCCTAGCATGCCTAACTCCCTGGGTTCGATTCCCAGTACTGAAAAAACATTTATTGCTGGACATGGTGGTACAAACCTATACCAGTAGACTGGAAGACTGAGGAGGATATCAAATTTGAGGCTAATCTGAGCTAGTGAGACTGTCTCAAAATAAATAGATCACTGATAGAGGTTTGTTATTTAAGCATGAGGCTCAGACACAAATGGTATTAAATAGCCTTTGAGGGCCAGTGAAATGACCGAGCAGGTAAAGGTGCTTGCTGCCAAGCCTAATGACCCAAGTTCGATCCCTGGATTCCACATGGTGAAAACGAGAACTGGCTTCTGCAAGTAACTCTGCTTGTGGATGGGGGTGTATACACAGAATTTTTTTTTAAGTGAGACTTGGAGGGATTCTGGTCTTTCTTGAGGTTTATGTTCCTCTGTTTATGAAATTGCTCTGAACATTGAAAGAAAGGTATAAAATCAGTCACGTTTACTTTAGGGTCATATATTTAAAAGGATTGTTCTTAAATTACTGTGTGGCCAGCCAGAATTGGTTCCTTGTATAGATTTGGGGTTGTATTAGGACTGCTTTACTTATGCCTTCCCATTGGTACTTGCAGAGCTAGGCTCTGACCTAGTTGCAGGACAAGATAACCTAATCGTGAAGAATGCGGAACCTTCCCAAACTTCTGTGAGTAGAGGCATTTACACAGCTAATACCTCAGAACTCTGTTCAAGGGAGTTCTGCCCTATGTCCTCATACTGAGAAGAAATGATTCCTTCCCGTTTATTTAATGGTCCAAAGTCACCTCAGTCCCCCGATAACAATCTACAGGGCAGAAGTGTACAGTGCTGTTAGTGGAAATAACCTTCACTCTCTAAGGCCTTTCCTTAATTCTTGATGCTCCCTGGTTCAAGCCCCTGCTGGGAATTGGTTTTTAGGAGCTCAGATTCAATATGGGAGCAGTATGAGAAAGGGAATGATTCAGTACTCACCCTTGGGAGGCTTGAGTTTTTCATAGCACCTGAAGATGGCAATGAAGAGAAATCCTTCTGCAAGTTGGAAAATCATGTAGAGGAGGGGAAAGAAGAAAAGTGGTCCAATGACTTCAGGGGGAAAGGTCACATTGAGGATGGTGGAGCAGAGCTGAATGTTTTGGAATCCTGTTTCCATGCTGATGGTGCGTCTGCACCTGTTCAAGTGGAGAAAAATGTTGAGTAGGAGATACACGGTAGCAATTGTGCTTGCCCTAACCCCCTTCCAGATACTTAGAACCTGAGCAGTCTATCACAGGAAGATGGAAGGAAGCCAGAGCTTGAAATACACATGGATTTAAGAAAAGTCAACATGACCTATCTTCATAGCAGTCTAGTCCTGATGATGGTCACTAAAAGGTACAGGAGGTTTTTATAAGGCTGTGTGTACAGGATTATTCAGCATCTAGTACACGCTAGGCTAGTACTCTACTACTGTGCTGCAGCCCCCTAGCTCTAAGGAACCTTTTTGAATAACTGAAATTTTGGATTTGTCTGCTTTTGTAAAATTGAATAATTAAAACTTGGTCTCTGGCAGGTCAGAGATGGTGTGAGCCAGTTTCATTCATCAGCATGTCATGTCAGCCCTGTAAGACATTTTTTTGGTCTTTTTGAGACAGGGTCTCCTTGTAGCCACAGCTTCCCAGCTGACCTGGAACTCAGTATGTAGACCAGGCTGGTCTTGAATTCAGAGATTTGCCTGCCTCTCCCGAGTGCTGGGATTAATGGCGTGTGTCATCACATCCAGGGACAGTTGCACTTTCAATGGACAATGGGAGATATTTTCAAGTGTCTGGGACTTTGCCCTGTGCCTGTTTTCTAGCTTACACATTTTTAACTCTAGAACTTCTCATTAAAAGCAAAAGTTGGGCTGAAGAGGTGGCTCAGTGGTTAAGAGCACTGGCTGCTCTTGCAGAGCACCCACATGGTGGTTAACAACTCCATAACTAGAGGTCTAGGGGATCTGACGCCATCTTCTGACCTCCATGGGCAGTGCACAACATGGGTGTACTTAAACACATATCCAGGCAATATACTCATAAAAAACAAAATATTTTTAAAAAAAGCAAGTCAGCTCTATTATGTCTTAGGAAGATATTTTCCTAGTTTTGTTTCCCTTTTGTAAATTAAAGAGCAAGATTTTTATATTAAATGAACACATTTAATTCATTTAATTCCAAGTGTGTCAAAGTAATAGCTACAGCACATTATGAGGTGCTACTGTAATGACACTTGGTACTGTGTCATTGTGATCTGTAGCTCCTTGAACTAGTGCGAATGGGCATCAGTTTGTGGACATTGAAAACCTTCTGACTGATGTTCATGCACAGTAATTTTATATTTATCAGCATGTTTTTTTTTTTTTTTTTCTTTTTAATTTTTTAGACAGGATCTCACTATGTAGCATTGGCTGGCCTGGAACTTATGTAGACCAGGCTGCTGGCATCGAACTCAGTGATCTGCTTCTGCCTTCCAAGTGCTAGGATTAAAGGCATGTGCCACCACACTTATCAATGTGGCTTTTTTTTTACTTTGATGCACGACTGGTCAGAAAAGTGGGAAAGAGCCAGGCGTGGTGGCATACACCTTTACTCCCAGCGCTCAGGAGGTAGAGGCAGGTGGATCTCTTGAGTTCAAGGCCAGCTGGGGCCACAGGGAGTCCATGTCTCAAGATACCCCTTCCCCCCAAAAAAAGGTGGGAAAGAAGAAAATTGTATTAGCAATGACAGCTACAGGAACTACAAGAGATGGAATTTAGACATTGGAAGGGGACAGGCTGCCATTAGTGCTTGCTGTTTGGATGGTGTCTGGTTTTTCAATTTAGTCCTTTAGTCTATTTGAGCCCACCCCCACCATATTACAGTCCAAATTACTCATTGAATTGATTCCTTTGAACATACACTAGAAAAATACTGTGTCTAGACCTCAGATTCCTAACTCCTTGTCCTCCAAAAAGATTAGGATGAGAGGCCTTTAAGGATAATGAGACCTAAAAGAATACCTACTGTGCATTGAGTCGGAAGAGAGCAGAGAGAATGTAACCCAGCAGGAAGCCAGAGAAAGGCATCAGGGAGGAGGTAGCCAGCAGGTGTGGTTTCATGACGAACATGATGCTATTGCCCACGTTCATTACAGAGAGGACCGTGACAGCCACACTGAGGAAGAAAGTCATGATCATCCCTCCCTGGACAGGAGGACAAGAAAATGTCATTTAGAAGCCCGGGAGTGTGGGAACAGGGCTGGGGAGGCACATGGGGAAATTGGTAGTGGAGACCATTTTAACAGAACATTAGTTATAAAGTGGAAGGAAAAACATCCCATCTTTGTATCAGCAGCAGCTAGAGAATTTGAGATTTGATTATTTTAATGACTAAAACCTTAGCCAAACAATCTGCTGTAGACACATTTCCAGACTGCAAGTTTTCAGTTAAATGTAAAGGGATGAGACTGTGGCCTCCTACAGAATTGACACTTGTAACCGAAAAGATACAAAGTCACTTTCTAGAGTCTGTTCACACATTTACACAAGACTATTCCGAATACTGGGGCGCTCATCAGAACTGGTCATACTTTTCTCAACCTCCATTAGAGGGTGGGGCATGGTTGTAGGATGAATTTGACTTCTGGAAATTGGCAAGACATTCTTTGAAGCAAAGCTGGATAAACAAGGTTGTTGACTGAGCCAGGTAATAGGGTTTTAGATGCTAAATAATGTATAACCATAAAAAGAACAAGCTTTCTTGGTGACTTTGGAAATGAGATGTGAAAGTTCCAGAAATGTATAACATCAGAAATTGCAAGTCCCTTGCCCTAGGTAAGTGATGAAAAGTCATTGGGGTAATCATGTTTTTATTCTAAAAGCTTTATAATTACATCTTATAATAACTATTGAAAAACTTCAATATGTCTAGTTTTGGCGAGATTGTGATTAAGGTTTTCTGTGTGTAACATAAGATACAAGTTTTCAGAATATTTCTGTGCTCTTTGCACTTCCCAAAATGTGTTTTGGAGAACAGCATGCTCTAAAATGACAAAAAGTAAATTTAGGTCTCTAGTTCTCATCTCTTCAATAAAGAAATACATAACAAAAATTGCTTAAAGTTATTTTGTAATGTTTTGGCTCTTCATATTGTTTATATGTGAATGTTTTATATTCCTAGTACATTTTTTTGAAATGGTCTCATGTAACCCAGATTGGCCTCAAACTCTGCAGTCTAGGTAGGCTTTGGATTCCTTCCTTATCCACCTGCCTCAGCTTTTCAAGTGCGGACATTATGTTTCTACTCCTTCATCCTAATCTGAAATTCTGGGATTGTATACACTTCCTCAGTCTTCTATTAGTCAGGTCTGCCAAGTTTGCCTTGTTGACCTCTTATTTATTCTCTCCTCAGGCTTATCTAAATCTTAACCTTTCTCATGGTCTGGCTCAAGACCCTTCTCCAAGAAGTGTTGATCATTCTAGCCTTCCATAATCTCATCTTTTTACATTCTGCCAGTACTTGTCTGCATGCATGTTGAATCTTACTTTCATGTGTTACTTTCTACAAATAAGGATAGTGAGCCTTCAAAGTACATAACAAACTTCAGCATCTAGGAGGAACATATATTTAATTTTATTTAATTATACCTTACATACACTGTTTTCATTTTCTCCCAACCCTTCAAGAGTATTGTATAGGTTGCAATCTCATGATATTAGTAGATAAACTGAGTAGACTTTATTTTACCTCTTCAATAAAGAAGGATACTGACATAAAAGCCTGCTGTGGTTTGGATGAGTGTACCCGGGAGGTTTATATGTTAAAGTTTGGTCCCCTGTGGGGGTTGGAGGTTGGTGCTGTTGGGAAATGTGATGGGCCTCCCCATGTGTGGGGCCTTGTGGAAAGGTTCTTGGATCACTGGGGGACATTTACTTGACAGAATGTAGGGTCTATCCAGTCCCTCTCTGCTTCCTGTCTTGTAATTGCTCCAACGTGCTCCTGCCATGATGAGCTACCCTTGCCAGATGCCCAAATCAGTGTCCACCCACTGTTAGGCTTAAGACCCCTACAACCGTGAACCAAAATAAACTCTCTTCTTTGTGGTGTTAATTGCTCCACTAAAACAAGGCCCCATTCTTACCTTGATGATGTAGGGTACGCATTTTGGCCATTTGGACTTGAGGACAATACCTATGGTACAAGGAATGAGAATCATGACCAGTGATACCATGATGCCTGCATAGGGCACCTTGTCCTTAAGGTCTCCATCATAGATTCCTTTGGTGTAGATGTACAAGAGGAGAGGCATCATGCCCAAGGCAAAGAAGGTAGAGCAGGTGGTCATCACAATGCTAGGTGGGAGATATGGGAAGAACAGAAAGTCTATTAGCAGAGTTCTGAATGTGATGTGCCAGCACTAAGTGCTTTAACACCATTTTCTTAGATAAAAACATACTGTCCCTTTTTTTTGAATTTAAAAAATGTGGTACTGGTACAAAGATAGCCACACTGGCCAGTAAGACGGATCCTAGACACAAACTCATGCATATTTGATTAATAGGAGTACCCCCTACTGCAAATTATCACAGAATGGAGAACAATGCTTAGTATTTGTTCATATGGAAGAGAAAAAATTAAATCATATAAAAATAAGGTCTAGGTTGATCACACAGCTCCATGTGAAAAAAATTGTGAAGTTTTTTATAGAAAATATCTTTGTAACCTTGCAGATAGTAAAGGATTTCTTAAATCCCTAACTAAAAAATCAAGGAAAATGGTAAATTTGACTAAATTAGAATAAGCACTGCATAAAACATTATCAAAATATAAGTCCCAAACTGTGAGTAGACTTGCCACATAAGTAAATAACTACAAATTGATAAAAATCTTTTTAAAAATTAAAATTATTTTTATGAGTGTATTGCCTGCATGTAGAGGTAAGTGCACCTGTGTCGTGCATTGCTCATGGAGGTCAGAAGAGGGCGTTGGATCCCCTGGAACTGGAGTTACAGATGGTTGTTAGCCACCATGTGGGTGCTGGGAATCTAACCTGGTTCTGCAAGAGCAGGCAGTGCTCTTAACTGCTAAGTCATCTCTCCACCCTCATGATAACAAAGATCTTTGAAAATAATCCCATAGAAAAACAATGCCTCCCATGAAGTCAAATTTTATTTTTTTAAATATTTTTTTATTTTATGTGTATGAGTATTGCCTGCATGTATGAGTGCACCCGTGTCGTGCAATGCTGTGGAGGTCAGAAGAGGGCTTTGGATGCCCCTGGAACTGGAGTTAAGGATGGTTTGTAGCCGCCATGTGGGTTTTGGGAATCAAACCCGGGTCCTCTGCAAGAGCAGTCAGTGCTCTTATCCACTGAGCCATATCTCCAGCCCCAGAATTTTAAAACGTGATGTTTCATACTCAAGTCGGCAAAAATTTAAGTCTGGAAATCCCAAATATGAAGAAACAGAAAGAAAAAAAACAAACAAAAAAACTGCTAGGGGAAGTGTGCGGAACAACTTTGTAAATTTCCTTGCTGAAGATGTGTGACTACCATGACCCAGAGCCTTGCTTTTATCACACTTACTCTTCTGGGAGCAAGGGGCCTGTGCCCAAGACTGTCTACAGAAGCAGGCCGTGCAATCAGGAATGTTTGGCCACAGATGAGGAAGCGTAAGCAAACCACACAGCAGTCAGATACATGAAGCAATTATTTTACTTACATGGCTGCCAGAGCAAATTGTTAAATGTATGAACTATTGATACAACATTTAAAATCATGCAAATACAGCAAAATATCTTGTTTATGGTTGTAAGCTCATGTGGTATAGTTTAAAAAGAGCGCCAGGATGCCGGGCTTGGTGGCGCATGTCTTTAATCCCAGCACTCAGGAGGCAGAGGCAGATGGAGCTCTGTGAGTTCAAGGCCAACCTGGTCTATATAGTGAGTTCCAGGACAGCTGGAGAGCTACACACTGATCTACGGAGAAGGACAGGCTGTAAAATAAATAGTTCAGGGCTGGAGATGGTTCAGTGGTTAAGAGTGCTTCCTGTTCTGCCAGAGAACCTAAATTCCTAACACCCATGTTGGGAGGCTCACAACTGTCTGTAATTAACTCCTAGGGGATCTGACACCTTCTGGCCTAGGCCATCTTTCCAGCCTCAAATTCTTTCTGGAGATGGTTCAGTGGTTAAGAGTGCTTCCTGTTCTGCCAGAGAACCTAAGTTCCTAACACCCATGTTGGGAGGCTCACAACTGTCTGTAATTAACTCCCAGGGGATCTGACACCTTCTGGCCTAGGCCATCTTTCCAGCCTCAAATTCTTGTTTTTGAGATTGGAGTCTCAAGGATTCTCTCACCTCAGCTACCTGGGTAGCATGGATGACAAACATGTACCACTGTACTCAGCCCCTTCTTGCTTAAGGTCTGAGAGCTCTGCATAGGCCCTGCTTTTGGATAGCTGTACACTCTGAAGGACTGTCCATGGAGAGACTAGAGGCAGAAGCTGAGGAAGCTGCGAGGTGACCTGGCAGAGTCTATAAAGTGGGAAACGTAGGAATCCCAGTGGCTTCCATCTTGTTATTTTTAGGATTCCTATGTCATGGCGAGAAGACTTGTAGGAATTCTTGGGATTTGTCCAGGCTTGTTGTTTGCCCCAGCCATTGACTCTGAGCTCTGCTGTGGGCCCAGTGGGCTAAAGGGCAGAGGAGCTTGAAGGATGATAGAACAGTCAAGGTCTGTCCTGACTAGAAAGCTATGGAGGACATTTTTCTCTCACCTATATGTCATTGAGGAAGGAGCTGCCCTGCCTGGCTGCCTGGTGGGGTCTGCCAGGTGGCCTGGCCCCAGACTTATTCCAGTTGGGAGGCAGAGAGCCCTGGCCTGGCTCTGAACACAACTTTCTCACACATTTTAGGAGACCTTTGGCAGGTTCCTGTACTTCTGCTTCCTCATGTATAAAATGGAATAATAAGTGTCTCACCATTTCCTTCGGACTTTAAGTGGGACACAGTGCACATAACGAATGTTTTCAAAGTGAACCTTGAGTCACATCAGACCCTTCCACACATATTGTCTGGCTTGCACAGACTTTAGGATAAATTTTGGATAAGTTTCTGATGTTTGAAATTTTGTAGTTTTCACCTAAAATGGAGATTTTATCTTTGCTTGAAAAGCAGGAAGCTTCAGCAGCAGTAGATTTTTCTTCCCATAGAAGACTCATGTCAGATCAGAGGGGCCAGTCTGTGCCTTTGAGGCTGGCTAGCGACCTCCAGCCAGTTTGTGTGTGAACAGGCTGGTCTCAAGATACCAGAGTACAAGTGCAGGCTGCGAAGCCAGCCAGATCTTCACCAAGGGTGTTAAGCTCTAAGACTCAGTTTCTTCATCTGTAAATGTGGTTAGTTATGGCACTGTCTTCCACAGTGCTGTGTGAGGATCATGTATCCTGTCTAGGTAAAATGCTCAGTACAAAAAAATATGCCCAGTACGTGTCAGCCACTGAAACAAGATCGGCAGAAAGGTGTACAATGGACTGTAAGGCTATTTAGAGAATAAAGTTGGACTTTGTTGAAAAGAACGTTTAGTGCAGATTCTTATCATCGCTGTTATAATGCATGTAATAACTTGTTCCAGACCACTCATTGGGATTCAAAGTCTGGCAGTTCGTGATGATAAGATGCATACGCAGACAGTGGGGTCTGAGGCATGGCTTAATGTGCATGAAAGGTTTGTTTGAGAGGAAGGGACATTATGATGGAAGGTGACTACATCAACACCTTTTGTGGAGTCTGGGTTCTGGGACACGTGCTTGGACAAGGAGGCTGGGTAGCAGACAGAGCATGAGGAGTCATGTACTGAGTTACCAGAGGCTGGTGTGGTGGGAAGCCTCTAACCTCACTGTGCAGGCGCTGTCAGAGAGGCCTCGTTTGCAACCATCAGGTGAGAGGCTGTGACACTTGGTTACTCACACTTAAACAGTTGCCCACTGTCTTCAGCACTGTTCCCAACTCCTGGTCTCCTCCACAGATACACAAATCCCTCAGCGTATCCCTTTCGTGACCAATATGAGCACTGCATTCCTTCTACATCAGCATTGAGGTGCAGCCTGGATTTCTTTTTTTAAAAAAATTATTATTTTATGTGTATGAGTGTATTACCTGTTTGTAGGTAAGTGCATCCAAGTCATGCAATGCCCACAGAGGTCAGAAGAGAGCATTGGATTTCCCTGGAACTGCTATATAGGTGCTGGGAATGGAAACTGGGTCCTCTGCAAGACCAGCCAGTGCTCTTAACTGCTGAACCATCTCTCCAGCACCCTATTGTATTCTTTAAATTTCTTATTAGCAGCCTGGATTTCTTGGGTCACAAAGAGTGTGCAAGCCTTGTCCACAGGCAAGATGAGGGACTATGGGCTTGCTTTGCAATCGGAAGGGTTTAGATTAGATATAGGGATGAATTTCCTCACAGTGAGGAAATCGGAGATTCCATATAAAAATGGAGATTCTATCTTTTCTTGAAAAGCAGAAAGTCCGGGCTGGAGAGATGGCTTAATGGTTAAGAGTACTGACTGCTCTTTCAGAGGACCTGGGTTCGATTCCCATCACCCCCATGGCCTCTAATAACTGTCTGTAGCTAGTTCCAGGGGATCTGTAGCCTTTTTCTGACCTCCATGGGCATTTCCTGAGATGGGTGCACTTACACACATGCAGGCAATACACTCATACACATAAAATAAAAATAATAAAAATAAAATGTTTTTTAAAAAAGCAAAGCAAGCTGGGCATGGTAGCACATGCCTTTAATCCCAGCACTTGGGAGGCAGAGGCAGGCAGATCTCTGTGAGTTCAAGGCCAGCCTGGTCTACATAGTGAGTTCCAGGACAGCTGGCAACAAAGGGTTGTTCGAAAAAAAAAAAAAAAAAAAAAAAAAAAGAAACAGAAAGCTATGATAGCTGTGGATTCCCCTTCCATAGAACACCCATGTCAGATCAGAGGGGCCATTGCCTTTGAGACTGTAGCCATTTAAAAAAAAATTATTTCATTTTATGTGTATGAGTGTATTGCCTGCATGTATGTGAGTGCACCCATGTTGTGCAATGCCGCGGAGGTCAGAAGAGGGCTTTGGATTCCCCAGGAACTGGAGTTAAGCACGGTTCGTAGCTGCCACGTGGTTGCTGGGAATCAAACATCGGTCCTCTGCAAGAGCAGTCAGTGCTCTTAACTGCTGAGCCATCTCTCCAGCCCACCTGTAGCCATTTTGTTTATAATAGGCTGGTTCTCAAGATAGTGAGGGGGTTGAATACTGAAATATATTCCTGAAGGAGACTAAGTCAAATTTTCTTTGTGCCTCTCAACTTAGAGAGGCTTGAGTTTCTTAGACAGCAGGTTCTGGAAACTCCCAATTTATACTACTTTTGGTCTTTTTATTTAAAAATCTGTCCCAAGGACTGGAGATACTGTAGTCCAGTGGTATACCACCTGGCTAGCCTGAGCAAGACCTGGGGTCTCTCTACCCTCACTTCCAAATTGTCCCATTGTCACTTTGCACCACCAGGAGGGGCTTCTTGGTTTAGTTTTCTTTGTAAAGTTCAGTCATGGGCTGGGTTCTTAAAACCTAAGCAGATAGACTGAAATCCCTGTTTTGCCTGGCGTTAAATAACATCTCCACTGAGGACAGACCCAGAGAAAACTGGCTTAAGACTGAGGCTTTGCTTTTGCTAGTGAGTTCTCTTCAGCCATGGCCCAGGCTGCCAAAGTAGGCTGAACAGGTACTCAGCTAACCCTTAATAAGGCTGAGAGTTAGAGAGCCCTTGCTGATTTCTTCTCAGGCTGCTCTGGGTGGTAGCTGTTGCTGATCTTCTCTCTACCAGTTAGATGAATGGAGTCCAGCCTAACTTGGGCAGGTGCTGGGACCTCAAGTCTACCTGAAGTGTCTTTGGACTGAAATGTCACTGCATCTTATAATGGGGTGAAAAGACTTAGATACCTCAGATGCCCCGATACTTGGGAGCATCTTTTGGAGTTCGGCCTGCTCTGCAGGAATTTGAGATGCTCATTTGGTTCAAAGTGACCTTGACCTCCCTGGAAATGTTCACACCCCATGATGCCCCTTTCAGATCCAGCCTCAGAGCCTGCAGCATGCCACCCAGTTAGGTGGGTATAATTCTCCAGGGGCTCTTTGGTTGAAATCTTTGCTCCTCCCTGAGGCACTTCGGGGAGTACAGGGGTGTCCAAGATGCCCCTGAACAAGCTTGGCACTTTTCACTTAGTTCTTTTTTATTTTTATTTTTCTGTCTTTTTGAGACAGAGTCTCCCTATAGCCTCAGCTGGTCTGGTCTAGAACTCAGTAGTTAGACCAGGCTGGCCTCAATCTCACAGAGATCCACCTGCCTCTTCCTCCAGAGTGCCAGAGTGCTGAGATCAAAGGCATGCGCCACCACACCTGGCTTCACTTTGTTCTTTTAAAAAAATATTATTTTTATTTTTTATGTGTATGAGTGCATTGCTTGCATGTATGTAAGTGCACCCATATTGTGTAGTGCCTGAGGAGGTCAGAAGAGGGTGGCGATTCCTCTGGAACTGGAGCTACAGACAGTTGTTAGCTGCCATGTTGGTGCTGGAAATAGAACCTCGGTCCTCTGGAAGAGCAGCCAGTGCTCTTAACTGCTGAGCCATCTCTCCAGCCCCCACCAAGGTGGACCCCAGACCCTGCCCCTAGCTCAGTATGTCATTGGCAATAAATACCAGCCCCAACCCAACCTCCACTCCCTCCCTCTCCTAGCTTCAGTTCAGCTTTTCCCTTAGATTATGGCTTCTCCACAGTGCCCCATCCCATCCTATGCTGCTCTCCCTAAACTCCAGTCCTACCTGAGGTTCATGTCCCCCTTCACGGCCAGAGTGAAGAGGTTGGACAGGTTCCCCCCAGGAGAGCAGCCACAGATGAGGATGGCCAGTGCCTCAATGTTGCTCAGCTTGAAGACCTTGCCCAGCACAAAGGCAGCGAGGGGCATGATGCCGTACTGGGCCACCATGGCAATGAGCAATCCTTTGGGTTTCCAGAAGTGAGCCTTGATCTTGCTAAACTCCATGGTGCAGCCCAGTGAGAACATGATGAACAACAGCATGATCACCAGGATGACACTCAGAGCCCGGTCGGTGGGGCGGTGGCCAAAGCCCGGTGGCAGGGAAAAGTTGAAGGGGGCAGTGACATTGTGTGCCTCCATCTTCCAGGCAGCAGTGAACACCACCTTTGTTCCCCGGCTGCCACCCTTCCTTGTCCAGTCCTTGCTGGATGCTTTCTTCAGCTACCTTACTGGACAGAGTTTCTGGATGAAATGTAGCTGTGGACAAATAGAAGGATTATGCAATCAGTTGAGCCGCTGCTCTGGTTGTGGTTCCAAAAAGAAGAGAGTCCACATGCTTATCTTGCTGGTTTTCTCTGCCTCTCTCCAGTTCCCTGACCTCCGTGCTTGCTGAGGGTCACTCACATACCTGCCTTAGCACTTGGCTGCTTCTTGGGCACAGAGCAGCCCTCTGCTGAGCAGACTTCGCTGGCATTATTTCTGTGACCAGCCCAGGACTTTCTCCTGGTCTAGCCTTTCTTCTTCCTTTAGCTCCTGCTTCCAGCCCAGGCCCTGATAGAGGTTCTCTGCTGGTGAAGATGAGCTACCATCTGTTTCCAAGTTCATAGGAGTGAAAGAAACTGTGCTACCCCTGGTTCTTGAATGCAGGCAGCAGAGCCCAAAGGGCTGTGGGACAAGATAGGGGCAGGTGGTGTTGCTGCCTCCGACTTTCCAGGTGGGAGATCATGGCATGGCCTTCTTGCCTGTGCTGGGGAACCTTTGTTTTATACCCACACCTGGGTCATATGGGTCCTAGGATGGGACACTGGTGGTTCCCTGTAATGCTTGCTTACCTCCAGAGGGAAGAGTGTTCTGGAGTGCAGGTGGATTCTCAGAATGTGGGAGGCCCTTTTTCCAAAGTGCAGCTCAAGAGGGAGCCCTGACTATGGAGACTAACTGGTGCTTGAGGCACCTGGTGGCTTGAGAAACTTGCCAGGGAGGAAGCTGGAACAAGCAGTCTTTCCTTGTTGAGTTCTTGACTGCTCCGTATTTGGGTGCTGGGCCTGTGTGTTCAAGCTGGAAACCAGGTTCGAGGTATGTGATATCAGCAGCACCAAGAAATAGGGATGGCTGTCCTGAACTACACCCCTTCCATCATTCCTCTGTTGGCATAGGTCTTCAGAAGCCCTATCTCCCCTTGGCTGGTTAGAACAACAGGCTTGGGTAGGGGTCTTATAGGTTCTTCTTTGCTGAGATCCATGATAAGGCTTATGTGTTGTTTTTGAGATAAGGTCTTGCTATATAGTTCAGGCTGGCCTTGAACCTGTGATGGTCCTGTCTCATCCTCCCACATGCAAAGTTTCCAGGTGTAAGCCACCAGACCCAGAATGATTAGGTCACTGTGGGGTTGGGTAGCCACTCATTTTTGGATTGGTATAATTACTTGAAAGTGAGAGCTCTTCTGTTTGCTCTTGTAGAGGACCTGAGTTTAGTTCCCAGCACCCGTGTTAGGTGGCTCACAACCACCAGTAAGTCCAGCTTCAAGGGATCTGATGTTCTGTGAATACACACACAAACATACACAATTAAAAAATCTTAGCTTGGTGTGGTGGTTCACACATTTAGTCCCAGCACTTGGGAGGCAGGGGCAGGCAGATCTCTGTGAGATCAAGGCCAGCCTGGTCTACATAGCGAGTACCAGGCAACCTGGGGCTACAGAGAGACCCTGTCTCAAAAAGAGGAAAAAAAATCTTAAAAAAAAGAGAGCGCTCTTCAACAATGGTGTTGGTGGCTTCTAGAATTCTGTAATGGACAAATATTGAAAATAATCCATATATCCCATCTATATCCATGTAGCACCTGCTCTGGGGAGTTGTGCAGTGACTCGAGGTGACATGAGATTAGAATCCCTTTCCCTTGGAGAATCTCTGATGTGAATGGTTTCCTGATGCTTGCGTTGAACAGGTCTCAAGTGAAGGACAGGTAGAGGCCTGGCGCTGCATGCAGATGGAAATGCCTGTATTGAGCATTCTTGGGGGAGCCTCTGAGGGTGGCCCAAAGGAGGCTGCTTTCTCCTCTGGGAGAAAGCCAGTGAGTGTAGGCATTCCTTATCTCTGCTTCCTAGTTAAGCTGCTCTACTTGAAACTGCACTAAAAAGATAATTCTTCCCTTTAAAAGTTACCTAGATTTAAGGGTAAGGAGGAATAGTTTGCAGCCCTGAATGGGAAACTTGTAGAGATTGTATCATCATCAGTTCTCCACTCAGAATCACACAATGAGCAGTGGTTGTGTGAAGCAGGCTGCATCTGGCTGAGGGTGATGAGGAGAACCAGCCATTGTGGCAGAAGACCATGCAAATCACTCATTTGTTCAGTGATGAGTGATACACAACATCCAATTAAATGTACTCAAAAGTCACAGAGGAAAAGAGCTGCAAAGACTAACACTCAAAGAAACTTACCAGAAAAAATTGCTGCAGAGCAGAGGGACTGTTTGGCATTATATAAGTGAATTTTAACAGCGAGTGCTCTTTAATCTAGACACAAATCAAAGAACAGAAAAAATTAAAGATCACCATATCATCATAGCCTCCTAATGTAATAATTAAGATGAAGATTGCCAATGGCCTTGGGTAAAATGTGATTGGTGAACAGGATGCTCACATGAGGATGAGATATCACCATATAGATGAATCACCAATTATAGTGGGAAGATGTGTACCTTTACATTGGAGAAACTGGGCAGTTACCAACCTTAACCAATTCAAACTTAGAATTATGGCTAGGGGGACAGTAATATCACATGACTCCTGATAGAATGCCATATGAGATACATCATGTCATTATAGGCACAATGTTTAATCCAAATCTACCAGCCTTTTTTTATTTTTTTTCTGGTCTTTTTGAGACAGGGTTTTCCTGTAGCTACAGCTGGCCTGGAACTCATTATGTAGACCAGGCTGGCCTTGAACTCACAGAGATCCCCATGCCTCTGTCTCCGAAGTGCTGGGATTAAAGGCGTCTACCACCACTCCTAGCCTAATCAGTCTTTAGACCCAGGTGACAGTGATTGGAAATATAGGGGCTAGAAAAATGAAAAAAACAAAGAAAAAGAAACAATGAGGTAACAATACATTACAAGACTTTTTTTTTTTCTTTTTGAGACAGGGTCTCCCTGTAGCCCCAGCTGTCCTGGAACTTACTTTGTAGACCAGGCTGGCCTTGAACTCACAAAGATCCACCTGCCTCTGCCTCCCAAGTGCTGGGACTAAAGGCGAGCGCCACCCGCCCGGCTTAGATTACAAGACTTTTAATAAAAATAATTGGCATGTGCTTTTAAAAAAATTATTTTTATTATTATTATTGTGTGTGTGTGTGCACGCATGCATGATGGATAGGTACATGTGTGGAGGTCAGAGGACAACTTTGTGGAGTCAGTTCTCTCCTTTCACCTTTACATGGGTTTTAGGGATCAAACTCAGGTTGCCAGGCATGAAGTGCCTTTACCTGTGGAGCCGCCTCACAAGCCCTTGGCATGTGCTCATAACCAAAAGTAAATGTAACAAAATTAGGAGGGTGGTCTGATATAGATTAAAAGAAACAGACATAACCAAATATAATCTATGAGTGGATATTGGATTTAAAAAAAATCTAAAACATGTTTTAGGGGTAATTGGGAATACTTGACTCTGGATTATATATTAGATGTTATTACTGTTCTGTAAGTATTAAGGTTGCTAGTGTCTAAATGTTTTTGTCCTTCCGAAATTTGCATGTTGAACTCTAACTGTAGGTGTTACAAATAATAGATCTTAGATCATGTTGGGGCCTTCATGAATGGGATCTGAGCCTTATGTTAGAAGCTCCCCAGGGCTGCTTTGCACCTCCCACCATGTGAGGGCGCATAGAGCTAGTGCTATCTGTGAGCATCCCTCACCAGACACCAAATTTGCCAGTTCCTTGGACTTATTTATTTATGTATTTTGAGGCAGGCTCTCACTATGTAGCCTCCCAAGTGCTGGGATCAGAGGTGTGCACTACCACACCCGAGGTCTTGGACTTCTTAATTCTTCAGAAATTGAACCCATGCCCTTGACCATGCTAGACAAGTGCTCTATCATCGAGTTATATCTCCAACCCCCAAGAGGAAGCCTGTTTTTTTTCTCCCTGTAGTCCCAGCTGGCCTGGAACTCGCTGTGTAGACCAAGCTAGCTTCAAACTCACAGAGATCTCCCTACTTATACCACCTGAGTACTTGGACTGAAGGTATGCACCACCACACCTGGCAAGAGTAAGCATTTTTAACTGTAAAAAGATAAATTGTGAGAAAGATTATTGACTAAAATTGGGTAAAAGAGGAAGGGAAGGATGGAAGAGGAAATATACTTTATTTCTCATTGTTCATTGTTAGGAACTAATAGATACCTGCTTCATCACAGAAAACTAATGTTATTTAAAGTTGTCATTATAAAACCTAGAAGAAAATTAAATGTTCCAGTGGTTGGAGGTATACGTAGTGCAATATTAAAATACTTACCTAACATGGAGGAGGCTTTGAACTCCATTCCTAGTATCAACAAACAAACAAAACGAAAAAAAATCCCCCCAAAGAAAATAAAAACCCTACCAAAATTTGAGAAGAATCATTTACAGAAGCAAAAAACAATAGACTACAGAGTGATAGCTTTTTAAAATTTATAAAAACAAAAGGTGTAACATTAATGTTAATATGACAAAATTAAGGCAGGTGTACCTGACATATCAATAGATGTTGAAATAAGCTTAACTCACCCATTGAAAGAAAAAAAAAGATGTTCAGAACTACTTCCATCTTTTATTTTTGAGACAGGGTCTCCCTGTAGCCCCAGCTGACCTGGAACTTGCTATGCAGACCGGGCTGGACTCAAACTCACAGAGATCCGCCTGCCTCTGCCTCCCAAGTGCTGGGATTAAAGGCGTGCACCGCCACACCTGGCCCAGACTGCATTTGTAAGTGACATCCACTTTTATACTGGGATCAAGTAATAACTGTCTAAGGTAAGATGATTTCAGAAAGATTTGGTTGAGGGGTGGTAGAAGTACAGGTCACAATTTTTATGGTCCTTGGAATTGAACCTGGGGCCTCTTATGTGCTAAGCATGCACTGTACTACTTAGCTACAGCCCTGCTCTGTTCATAATTTTAATATTGCCTAAGAAAGGTACTTTATAATGAATGCAGTTAACAATAATTTGATGTAGTGGTCATCTATGTATCAAATAATGATGTTTAAATTTTTTTTTTT